CCTTAATTCAGATCATCTTTATTATCAGTACATAGACTTGCTCTACACTAGGGATATAAACTGTGTTGGAAGACATGTTAAGTAACACTTTTCTTTTCAAACAAGTTAAATTCCTCTTAACAAATATCGTAAACAAAGACTAGCATGTATAAAAATGTAGTTGGCCATATATCAACATTAGACTGTTACACTCAGCTAAGTCATTTAAAAACAAGAAATATTTTAAGTATGACAATTATTGAGATTCTAATTAAGTCACAAAAATACAGTTCTTAAAAAGAAAGTTTAACGCCCATGAATTAACACTGCCTGACTGTGAAATAACACATACACTTGGACTGAAGCTGAGATGAAACTAGGAGACAGTCTTGTTGAAAATCTCTGGGTAAGGATAAAAGACATAAAAAGCAAAGACAATATCATGGTAACTGTCTACTACAGACCACTTAGGAAGAAGAGGTGTATGAAACTTGTTTTAAACAACTAACAAAATTATCTAAAGCACAGGACTTAGTGGCGATGAAGGACTTAAATAAAACGGCAGGGCACAGACTATCCAACAAGTTAATGTAATATATTGGAAGCATTTTTTTAAAATTTCAGAATGTTGAAGAAGCTGCCAAGTTGACTAACAAAGGAATTGGTTGAGTATTTGAAAGTGGAAAAAAGCTTGGGTGAAAGTGATCATGAAATGATAATTCATGATTCTAAGCTAAGGAATGGTAGGAGGAAAGATGGTACAATACAGATACAGGCAATCCTCGCTATACGTCTAAGATACGTTCCAAAAAACTTGGACTTATAGCGAAACAACTTAAAAGCGGAATTTATTTTTTCCATGGCTGACTTCCATTTAAGCAAATTGGAGGGAGTGTTTCACATGACTTATAGTGGGGAATGGCATCAGTTCCTACAAACGTCAACGACTTTAGTGTGGAATTGATGCATGCTGGGGCAACTTATAGTGGAGATGCCCTGTACTAGATTTCAAGAAGCAAGAGTTAAGCAAACCCTGGGAGATGGCAAGTAAGATCTTATGGGAAGCGACAATAAAAACTGTTCAAGGGACTTGGTAGTTTTTCAAAGAAACATTATTAAGGGCACAAGAGCAAACTATCCCACTGCATGGGAAATAAGGCAAAAGACCACTTTGGCTTAACCAGGAGTTCTTCGATGTTCTAATGATCAAAAGAGAGTCCTACAAAAAGTGGAAACTAGGTCAAATTACAAAGGATGACTATAAACAAGCATATAGGGCTAATATTAGAGAGGCCAAGGAACAAAACAAGATTAAACTAGCTAGAGAAGGTGTCAGCAACCTATGGCTTGCGAACCAAATACGGCTCTCTAGGGAGCCAGATATATGGCCCTTCTGGAGTCCCAACTCAGCCCCTCCCCCTTGTTCCCCCCCACAGCAAGAAGCCTGCACTGACACTACAGGATCAGCACTGGCTTCCGGGGAGGGGAGTGGAGGTAGAAAGCCCTGAGGCTCTGTGCCAGATCCAGCATGCAGGGAACAAGCAAAGCAAAAAATGTCTCAGTGTGCTGCAATTTTTCCTTCCCTCCACATGCAGGAAACAAGCAGAAAAATGCTCATGCACATCACTCCTTTTCATCCCTTCAGGAAACTTCCCTGGAGGATTCCTCTGTGAATCCTTCTTGGAGGCTTCTGGGGAATGGAACAACAGGCATGTTAAACAGTGCCTGCCATGTGGCACACAAACAAGTAAGTGCACCACCGCCCCCTCATGCCCAGACCTCAACCCGCTCACTCACTCCTCTTGGCCAGACAGCCCCTGCCCCCTGGCCAGAATCCCCAAGTCCAAAATCCTCCCTACCCCGTCCCCTGGCCAGACACCCTCTGCCTTTCACCCCTGGCCAGAATCCCCCGGCCTCCTCCCCTGGCTAGAATTCCCCACTGGCCAGGCAGCCAGCTTCCTGCCCCCAGCTCGCTCTTGTCCTATGGCCAGACCTTGAACCCTCACCCCCTCCTACATCCTACCTCCTCCCACCTAGATCCTGCACTCCCACATCCCTATCCCATTCACTGATAGCCCTGTTCCGCACACATAACCCTGCATTTTGGCCCCACCCAGAGCCATGGGGGGCCCACAAAATCTACTAATCCTGGATTCCCAGAAGAGTAAATCTAACCTGAGGCCTTGACACTCAGTCCTCCCTGCCCCCTCCCCATTATGGGGCTGGAGCACCAAAGGAGTGAGGTGTCTCAGTTGGGGGCCACATCAGTGAGGGTTGGAGGTTTTTGGAGGGGTTGTTTTTTTATCTCTCACTTGTGTGGTCCCCGACTGTTTTTTACTGTGGACCAGTGGCCCCCAGACCCAAAAATGGTTCCCCACCTCTGCCATAAATAAAGAAAACATGAGAACCTTTTATAACGAACATAAATTAATATTTTACTTTATTTAAAATGAAGTTTGATAAACTAACATGATAAAGTTGAAGCACTTAATCTGTTCAATAACTTAAATTACTATTTCCTTTCTAGAACCTCCCGTCCTGAGTCCCTCATATCTCCACATCCCTTGACTCCTGTACCCCCACATCTCCAGCCTCCTGCCCTGGCAGACCTGCACAATGCCAGGCAAATGTTCTAGTAAATTTTATAACGAAGATCCTCTGTCCCTATCTGGGTAATGAGAGTATAATTTACCACTCCTACCATAAATCAAGACAATGTTGAAATCTTTTGTGTTGGACATTATATTTTATTTTATTTAGAAACTAAGCCTGGCCAACAACCCTCCAACTGGGGCTCAGCCCCCATCTGGCTGCAGTGTCATAACATTCCTGCACCTCCCCCCCCACACCAACCCTGCCACCATCA